CTTAAAATACCAGATTTTCATCAGACCAGGAAAGGATAACCCATCATGATGTGGACAGTCCATGGTCAAAATAATTCAGGCCTTGGTTGCAGAGCCCTCCCTCTCCCATTAGCCCAGGGTTTATATTCAAGCATTCTCCTTCAACTAGGTATGGTTTCTTCCATATATATCAGGGGGGTCCCCAAACTTGGCAAATTTAAGACTTGTGGACTTCAACTGCTAGAAAAGCAGGAGAATTCTCTGAGAATTGTAGTCCACAAGTCTTAAAGTTGCCAAGTTCGGGGACTCCCTGATATATACTGTAAGAAACAGGGGGGAAAGATCCATCTCTTCCTGGGCACCCACTTTTTGAACTATTACCATCTGGCAGATGGTACAGGATAATAAAAACAAGGGCAAATAGGCTGAAAAACAGCTTCTATCCCAGGGCAGTAGCTCTGCTGAATTCTACTGTATAGTGCAATATTAATGCAATATCAGGGGCTTTCAATTCAATTGTATAGAATGCGAAGGATGTGTGTTTGTGTTTTATTTTTACAGTTATAATGTATACCCTCACATCCCGGACATTGACTGTTTCCAATCCTACCCTCAAGACGAGGCTATAGAGCCCTGCACACCAGAACAACTAGAGACAAGGACAGTCTTTTCCCCTGCATGCCATCACTCTGCAAAACAAATAATTCCCTCAACACTGTCCAACTATTTACTAAGTCTGCATTACTATTACTATTAAATCTTCTCATCACTCATCCCCTCCCACTTGTGACTGTATGACTGTAACCTTGTTTCTTATATCCTAATGATTTTTATTGACTATTTCCTAGTATGATTCGATTGCTTATGGAATAGAATAGAATAGAATAGAATAGAATAGAATAGAATAGAACAGAACAGAATAGAATAGAATAGAATAGAATAGAATAGAATAGAATAGAATAGAATAGAATTCTTTATTGGCCAAGTCTGATTGGACATACAAGGAATTTGTCTTGGTGCAAATGCTCCCAGTGTACATAAAAGAAAAGAGATATTCGTCAAGAGTCAAGAATCATAAGGTACGACACTTAATGATAGTCATAGGGTACAATCAGCAATCAAATCATACTAGGAAACAATCCATATAAATCGTAAGGATACAAGCGACAAAGTTACAGTCATACAGTCACAAGTGGGAGGGGGTGGGCGATAAGGAGTGATGAGAATATTAATCGTAATAGTAGTACAGACTTTGTAAATAGTTGGACAGTGTTGTTCCCTATGACTACCATTAAGTATTGCACCTGAATGATTCTTCACTCTTGACGAATGTATCTTTTCTTTTTATGTACACTGAGAGCATTGGCACCAAGACAAATTCCTTGTGTGTCCAATCACACTTGGCCAATAAATAATTTATTCTACACTGAAGATGGCATTTAATTTCGTTGTATGAGGTGCAATGACAATAAAGTACACTAAACTAAACTAAACCACCATCCCATTTCCCAGGAATTTACATTTCTTTCCAAGTTTTGAGATAAGACAGTTGCAGCCTTTTTACTACAAGATAATTTGCCCCCACATGTATTAGCAGGTAGGGATAATTGTTGTTGGACATGGAAAAGGCTGGAAGCTGCACGTCCCCATTCCTAATCTTTGCCCCTAGTGCACTGGGGTGTGGTAAGCGCCTACTTATTTTGCTTCCTCGTAGCTTTGAGTCACCAGCCATCACAACGCTTCTCTTGTCTCCTTGCAGGGTTCGGTTGCACCCTGCCTTCCCTTTAGGGATCCAGCATTGTGCTGGCTGCAAGCACAGCATCGCCTATACCTCTTCTAAAAGGTGGGTTGATTCTTGTGCTCCTGAAAACCTGATAAAGCTTCATCCTCCCTCATCACACCTGCCTATCAAAAGGACCCATTTCCCTAAATCTTTCGGGTAGGTAGCAAAGATGGAGCTCTTCAAGGCAACACGGGGGGACGAACGTTATCAGTGTTGTTATTTTGCTATTAGATCTCTTGGGTTGTGTTAATGTTCAGTCATTCCTTGTAACAGTCTCTGGGTGTTTTGGTTGGGTATCTATAACAAGGGTCTCCAACCTTGGCCACTTTAAGACTTGTGGACTTCAACTCCCAGAAATCTGGGAGTTGAAGTCCACAAGTTTTAAAGTTGCCGAGGTTGGAAACCCCTGATCTATAACAATTTGCTACTGTCAAGCCCAAAACCTAGAATGGCACATGGTGATTCTTCCGAGCTGAATTCTTGATTGTCTCACACCTATAGACAAAACATTGCCAGACTGGAGGACTCTGCTAGCTGCATCTGCCATATGCTCTTAGGGAGGGGCTGTCCTCGCCCTCTTACTCCCACTTGTAACATCCAGGTCTAAGTTGCCTCTTACTCCTCTGTAATGGCCCCCTCCTCTCCTGGTCGATCCAGCTCCTTAGTGGCATTCAATTACATCGGCTGATGTTTTCGCTACTGGCATTTGACCAATGTCTTCACTAGATTTTCAGTGGCATAAAAATGAAATAAATAGATCCACACATCCACGACAGGACGATTGTCGCCTCCAGAAAAGTGGGTGGGGGGAAGATATCCCGAAGAAGATTTGCCACTGACCCCTGCAGTCAGATTTCTTGAGTGGGGGGGAGACCTTGGACACAGCCCCTCTGCTGGATTTTACCAGATGAGTGGAGTTGGAATGGCTGGTCTTCACAGCCAGCTCCCTCCCTCCCAGGTCCACAGGGCTTCTTCTGTCATCAACCCCTATTGCAAACCGACCGCAGTATTTGCACTCCTATCTCCCAACTACATGTGTCCCCGCGGTCAGCGTAACAATTTACTAGACACAGATCCATAGATACCTTAAATAATCGGGGGGGCTTCGCACAAGCTGCTTCCTGGCTCAGTATTGTCTCCCTGCTAGGCAGCACTTTCAGCAGTCAGCCTGCAACCCCTTCCTTGTGCTACCTGTTCCAGAAAGTGAGCCTTTTTACTACTCCAACCCCAGGACTCTGTGTGGCGCGACTATCGTTCACCTCTTCCAAAACAGCAACACCCACCCACCCCCAGGGACAAACCTGCACTTTCTGCCTGCCAACATAATGTGACAATGGACTCTCAACGTTGGTCATCTCCTTCCCTGTCGTTGCTTTTAGCCTTTCAATCAGAGTTCTGCCAAATTATTTTCTAGGCACGCTGAAAACCATCAAGCCCCCTGAACAGTCCTCTCTTGCTCACTTTGTGTAGGGGAACACTTTTCCAAACATGAGGGCAGAGGTCATCCTAACAAATTTAAATAACTCAAATTGCCCCATAAACGTTTTTCACCCCGCTTTATTCGCAGCCTTGCACCTTTCCATACTTCCAAGAAATTTATTACTTAGGTACCTTTCCAGAATTTATTTCAGATTCACGATTTGATGAATCTTGTAATTCCTATGCACATCTCTGAAATACTCCATGCAACACTTGTGTTTCTCCCCAAATCATTTCATCCCTTTTATTCTCAATTCCATTTATTCCGTGAAAGGATTCCTGTGTAACCCTCTTCGCTCACTCCCAAAACTTTTTAAAATCCTCATAAATTAAAAAAAAAACACCACCACTCCTTTACACACCTACACACTTTCTCACACTGGTGCGTTTCCATCAGAATGCCATTGCATCATTCAGTTCACATGGGAGCTGTCTGGAATTTGGGAAACTAGCAGTTGCTGTGCCTCCCTTAAAGTTGTTACTATGGATCCCCTTCCAGAGGCTACCAAAGCTGAAATCATCCCAAGGAAAATCTCCTTTTCTGATCCAGTTTGGGTGAGGCTTATGTATTCCATCTTTCCGATAAGTTCATTCTCACAAACTGATGAAACAGATTGTAACCACGTAGCATCACAAAATACCAAAGTATTGTGCATTATGTAATGCAATTATCATGGTAACCAGCTCAATGAAAGGTTTTAATCCAGACATGCTCATTCTACTCTATGCAAGCCAAGATCTCCAACCTTGAAAACCAACCTACTATTGCCACAGCTCATCACCTAGAACAGGGGTGTGGTCTTCAATTCCCAGCAAAGCTGGCTGAGGAATTCTGGGAGTTGAAGTCCACAAGTCTTAAAGTTGCCAAGGTTGGACACCCCTGACCTAGAAGCTGCTTTGGTAAGCTGTTTAGACACTTGAGTATGTGTTCAAAAGCATTAAGAGTATTACTAAAATATCTTTTCCTTCGACATTCCTTAAAAAAACAAAACCTACACATTCCTGATTAAAAATCACAAAACTTGCAGAAACAGAGGGGCAATTCTACTCCAACCTTGGTCAGAGAACATTCCTCAGAACTCCACTCCCTACCAACACTGGTGACGCTACCAAGTTTGGGTAATAAGATGTCTGCAAGAAAACAACCAGGCACCAAAGACCTCTTGCTCTGAACATCTTCAGCCTCCTTTTGTAGATTTCCACCACTGGCAACCTGTTCCACTGGGGTGACAGATCACACAGAGCTGGGATGATGCTCCCGAGATAGACCCTGGGGCCGTGTTCACCCCCTGATCCTGGTCTTAGCCCTTAGGAAAACTGAGAAGGAGAAGTCAGCCCCACTTTGGGTATTTGAAGACTGCTGTCGTATCTCCTTTCAGTCACCCCTTCTACAGGCTAAGCAAACGCAGATCTTCTGACTGTTCCTCACAGGGTTTGGTTCTTGGCAGCCACAGCAATCATAAAATACCAACAGTAAGTCATTAACGTTAAAATTAAATTAAAACCACACCTCCCACACTGACGACATCACAATTCCCCCTCAAAGCCCTGAGATTACTCAGCCTGAGCTCTTCTTGGGTCCATCTCAGAGCTACGGAGCCTGCAGTGACCTGATCCGAACTGCCAGAGGCCAAGCAGAACACAGAACGTCCCCACTCGTCATAAACAATCCCCATAGGTTCAAAAAAAGGCAGAGCCGTATTATAAGCCATCCTTGCACGCAGACGTTTCTCTGGTGCCAGGCGGTGGGTGGTCTTACCTGGCTTCCCTGGGACCTCCACCACAGGGGGGAATCTGTGATGGGGGCTTTGCGTGGCGACGTTCCCCGCACTGCCTGAATCCTTGGTGGGCTGGCTTGTGGTCAGCTGCTCTGGCATCACCGCATTGGGATCTAAGAACCAACAGGGAAAAGTCAGGGTGAAAAAGAGAGTCCCGTCTCAGGGGAAGGGGGCCCGGGGGGCTCAGGTGGGGCACCGGACTGTCTTAGGCCGTAATCAGTTTGGCAACAGCCAAGAAAAGTGCCAGCTTTTTGCCAGAAGCAGGAGCTGAGACAAGAGACTATTTGCAGGAAATATATCAGACAGGCAGGTGCTGACGGAACCAGTGGAAATCCCATTAATCACCCCTTCAGTTCAGACTGCCCGCCCCCCAACTGTTCCATACAAGCTGTCCTCTTTAAGATTCATTCATTCATTCCTTTCCTTTCCTTCCATCCCTCCCTACCTCCCCATCCATCTCCTTCCTTCCTTCTCTCCTTCTTCCCTTCCTTCCTTTCTTCTTTCCTCCTTTCTCAGATCACCCTTCCCCATTAAACACCAGCCTCTGTCTCAATCACAGCACTCTGTTCAGTGGCTAAACCCTGCATTTAGACAAAAGAAATAGCTAAAACGAGGACCAAGAAAGTTTGCTTTCTGTTCAGCTATGGAGCTGCTCACATGGATTTCCAATTCTGCAATCAAATTGAAAACTATGCAACGTTGTATGTCACACCCTGCTCCCTTTCTGTGGTTCTTCTGAAGTCAGGAAAAAGGGAAGGGTGGAGATGTTGGCAGATTATGGGAAGCTCCCGAGATCATGGAGGACTTGCCTGTGGCCACCAGTCAGCTGTTTTGCCCCCTTTCCTATCAGGAACCAACAGACTGCTCCATCCAAAGCTAGAATTGAGCTTCATAATAGTTGTTTACTTCCATTTGTTCAGTGGTTGCTCAAAGTTAAGGAGGCACCGGAAGAAATGGACTTGCAACTGGTCCTCAAAGTTCTGACTCTTACAGTATCCCCGTGGCCACGTGACCACGAACCAGACACTTGGAGGCTCAGCTCACGATTATGACATGACCTGCTGGTCCCTTCAGTGCCATGGGGATTTTTAAGAAAAACCCTCTTTCCGTTGGCCTGCACTGTCCAAGTGTTCGCTTTAATGTGTGGTTAGAATGAAGGTGTTTTATCCTCCAGCAAGTCATTAGGAACTGGCCAGGAAAAGAAAATTCCTAGGTGTTTTCCTGGGATCACAGAGTTACATTCTCAACAACTCTCTGGAAACTGAGTCACGGTTCCATAACTTCACAAGTCGCCACTTTACAGACTGTTGGCAAAGACAAAAGTTTTCCAAACTGCCAGGTTTTGATATTGAAACTTGCAGTTGATTTATCCACCAGTATTTTATAATGCACATAAATCGATTCCGTTTTCATTGACCACACGTACAGCTGATGGGAAGCACACAGTGATACGCTTCCTAGAGAGGCAAGCTTGCACAGAAAATCGTTGCAATAAGGCTGGGCTGTGGTTGCACTCATCCCCAAAGCATGTCACACCCAACTCATGCGCCCTTACTTCATTAACAAGGAATGTGCCATGCAACTCAAGACAACCCTGTTTCCCTATTAAAGAGCATCAAGTGACATCCTTGACTGACCAAGGCCATGGCAAGGGGCAAAGGTTTGTCTGCACAGGCCCACCTACTCATCAGAACTCCCACAAGTAGAAGATTGCAACTTGGATTACGAGTACAGGAATTAACAAGGGAAATGAAAGGAGAAAATATATTCTCTCTCTCCGTCTCTGAAAGTAAGATAAAGGGAAAAGGCAAAACAGATCCAAGTGATGGTGTCTGAACCAGAGATGATGGGGGAACTTGGGGCCGTGAAGGCACAATATCAATTATGCATGAGTGATCCACAATATGTATCAGAAAATATGAATCACTGTCATGTAACGTATTACAAGGGCATCCTGAAGAAGGAACCCATCGGTTGATGGATGTGGCTCACTGGGCTCCTAGATCCCTAGGAGTGATAGCCCTTCAAGTCCTGGAAGGAAGTTGTAATGCCCGGCCCTAATTGACAGGCTAGGCATATCTAGTTCCCTCAACCATTCATCATACAGTTGGGTCTCCAGACCCTTTGTCGTCTTTGTTCTTCGCACTTTGTAGGCTCTCACCATCTTTTGTTCTCAACTGTGATCAGAACAGTTCATCCAAGTGTGGCCTCTCTAGTGCAGTATAAAGCGGTATTATAACTTCTCGTGATCTTGATACTCTCCCTCTGTGGATGCAGGCTAGGACTGCATTGGGTCTTCTGGCAGTTGCAGGACACTTGTGGCTCAGACTTAAGTAATGGTCAAGTAGGACACCTAGAGGTGTCTTTCACAGTTGCTGCTGTTGAGCCAGGTGCCCCCTATTCTGCATCTGCATGCTTGGTTTTGCTTGCCTAAGTTTTCCTTGTCACTGATTAATGGCGATTAGAATTGCTCTGAGTTTCTGTCTAGAAGTCTGTTCCAAGTAAAACGTTGAACTGAACAGACTGTTCATAAGTCCAGGTAGCAAAGGAATGCATGTAAGCCCAAATGCAGAGCTTGCAAGGGAAGACTTGAGCGGACAAGGGAAACAAACCCATGAAAGGTTCCAAATCTGGGACAAACCACTGTTTGGGGATGCCGGGGGCAGAAAAGGCTTGTGAGGGGAAAGGAAAGAAGGGAAAAGAGACTGCAGTAAACAGGGTGAACTAGTAATATTCGCCACTTGAGGATGAAAAGGGGCCGTGATGGAAAAGGACGTCGAGGTTGCCCAGCGCAGAGAGAAAAGAACTTGGTGATAAGCAAAGAAATGTGAAAAAGGAGTTCAATGAAGCGATGAATGAAAAATGCTGTGGAGGAGAGAAAGTTATAGGAAGTGAAGACAGTCGAAAAGAATATAGTCAAGGAGAGGATGGAATGTTTAGGATTAAAAGTGCAACGGAAAATGCAGACCCGTTTTGAAGGAAATTGTAAATCGTCCGCAGAGTAAATAAAGGTAGTAAAAATCTCCCTGACAACACAGGGAGAGCCTTCGAAGTCTGTTCTGGCCAAAATCTGCCTCACTTAAAGCAACCAGATGATTTTAAAGATACAATATAATTTTATTAACATGCCGCCGATAAGCCACACAGGCGATCCTAGATTTACAATTGTAATTGAGTCTGGAATTTAGCTGTAGGTCATGCCAGTCGTTAATTGGGTCATCGCATGACTGGTCCAATTTTAGGATATTTCTTTGCGGCAGTCTTTAAGCTCACCCTCGTGTTAAGCAAACCCACAGTCATTAAGCAAACCCATTTGTCCGCAATGTGCCTCTTAGCCAGAAAACTGAAGGATGTGCTGATTTCAAGCAAAAAATGTCACAAACTGTGGTCATTTAGACCCTGGATGGCCTTAAATGCGGATCCAAACATCAAAACGTGATCTCATGACCCGAGGGGGATGTTAAGAGCCAAAGCTAAAGTGCCTTTGACCTACAGCACCGAAAAGACGAGAGAAAAGGGCAGCAGACAAAGTCAAAACTGACAGAAAACGAGCAAACTTCCATGGCCAGATTTCAAATCCAAGTAGTAAAATCCATCCAGGCGGCTCCCCTGGCTGCTTTGCCAAGAGAACAGCCGGCTCGTGGGTCAAAAGCTGGCATGACGAGACAGGTTTCCACCTTTGATCTCAAAGAACAAATCCAGGGCTGCCTGGCGTGAAGCCCGAAGGATCCTTCATCAAGAGAGAGAAGAGCATCGCAAGAGGTCAACCTTTGCTTCTGTGCCCGGAGCGGGGCTGCTTTTTAGTGCCATTGCCAGGTTAGGGGCAAAACGGAACCCCTCGTTCTAGTCCTTGAAAGATGCCAGGAGACAGGATAAATCCCAGTTTAACCGGATGCCCATTTGGAGGCTGTCTGAAGAGATGCAACCGTTCAAATAATCCAGATATTATCCTAGCTTAACATGCAAATTATGCTTAAAGACAATCCTGACGTGTCCGTAAGAGAGTAAATTAGGGCCCTGTGTGGCCAATCAACCAGGAAGGAGGTCAACATGCCAAAAATATCTGCTTCATAAAAGCTTGTGACGACTGAAGTGGGATCAGGCAAACTGGAAGACATCCCTACCTATAAGAGCAATTCAGTGCTGGTGTGTTCCTCCTTCATACCAGTGAGACTTTTGAGTTCTCCCACTGATCCATTTTAGTAAAAACGCTAGGTTTCGGATGTCATTCCAGATGGTCACTGAACAGCGGGAGAAGAAAAGGGATCACTTTAAAAATCTGAAATCATGAACCACCTTAATGACTTCTGGACTTCAACAGCCACAGTTCCCCACTCCCACTTTAAATAAACTAAGTCGTATAAATAAGGGCTTCCTGCATTTATCCGTGATTTGAATCCCTCCAGTCAAGGTTGGCATGATGAGAAGAACAAGGAGGGAACAAAAGGCATGCCTTTTATTTTTATCAAATTTATTTTAATAAAATGCTTTTGGAATAAAAATCTATCTAAAGGTAGTTTTCCATTTAAGGTACATTAATAATTTAGTTTATTCAGCACGAAACAGGGCTTAGTTGTATAGCATGAGGCTGTATATTCTGCAATATTGGGACTGTCGGTGAGTCAGAGTCGGTACAGGTCAGAGGAGGAGCCACTGCAGAACAGAGATGAGAGTTGTGCTTTAAAAATTATGATTTAAATCAACTTGATTTAAATAGCAACAGCATTTAGACTTATATACTGCTTCACAGTGCTTTTACAACCCTCTCTAAGCAGTTTACAGAGTCAGCCTCTTGCCCCCAACAATCCGGGTGCTCATTTTACTGACCGCAGTAAACGGACGGAAGTCTGAGTCAACCTTGAACCTGGTGAGATTCGAACTGCCAAATTGCAGGCAGCCGGCAGGCAGCAGAAGTAGCCCTGCAGTACTGCACTCTAACCACTGCGCCACCGAGGCTCAGATCAAATCCACCCTGCTCTGCAGACAATGCTTTGGGCAATACAGGCATTACTAGTAATGACTATTATTAGTCAATTTGCAGATTAAAAATTGGAAGCCAATCACCGTCCCCCCCAGCACCTTGGCAACAGGCAGAGAAAGAAGCTCAAGTAGA